CCAGTTCTAGGACACATGCTTTTCCATGTTTTCACATCCCTGAAAGCATCCCACAACTGCTGCCTGCCAGTAGCAATCCTGCTGCTATTGTCATAGCTAGTATGTAAGCATCAAAATTTGCAGACCTGGTGTCAGCCCTTCAGCCTAAAAAATTCCCAAGAACAGCAGAGCAATGAGTTAAAGAATACTGTGCCACCAGGTTTTCATCAACACAGAACATGATATTATACAGAAAAACAAGGACATCACACCCCTAGTCTAAACGTGATTCGAAGGATGGAAATCCAGTATGCATAGGTCTGAAGAACACTGGTTGTATTACCAGCACAATCCATTCTCTGTCGTGGGGCAGTGAGCAGGGAACCTGTGCTGTGAATTATAGGACATTTAAGACTATCTCTGGTCTCCCACAATGTGTAAAAACACTTGACAAGTATGACAGGCAACATGGTCTACAAATATTATCAAGCATCCCAAGACTAAAATCTCCCCCAGTTCCAAACCATTACCTTAATCAATGTATTTTGCTTACTCTTTCCTCTTTATGAATATACAGGTGATGTGTTTTTACAAATTCAAAATTAATCTTCAGGAGCCCTTTCAATAAAGAAGCCCAAAGAAATAAACTATTGTGCTGCATGTTGTAACAAATTTTTTCTTAATGGTATATCTTTTTCAAAAAAATCATGGCCTCGGGCTGGGAAGGTGGCTCAGTGGCAGAGTGCTTGCCTTGCATGCATGAGGCCCTGGGTTCGATTCCTCAGCACCACATAAGCAGAAAAAGCTGGAAGTGGCGCTGTGGCTCAAGTGGTAGAGCGCTAGCCTTGACCTGAAGAGCTGAGGGACAGTGCCTAGGTCCAGAGTTCAGGTCCCACGTCCAGCAAAAAAAAAAAAAAAAAAATCATGGCCTCTACAGTTCCATGGAATTCCGCCGCCTGCTATCTATCCCCCATTGTTAGAGGGCCCTGCCTCATCTAGATCTATCTCTTTTTGAGGCATTACTTCCCACTGTGAACAGTTTTAGTAGTCCCAGTCCTTCCCTAATGGTTCCTAGTCTTCCTTTTAATGCTGTTGAACTATCAAATACACTTCTAAAAATTGCCCTTCTTCCAAGTTAATCGGGGTTAAGTTTCTATCTTTCAACCAAAAGACATCAAACTGGAACATGGTCTTTACTTAAGCTACCCAGATGGAAGACATTTCAGGATATTTCCCAGCCACAAAGTTCACAAACTTCCCCGCCTCACCCCTTAACTCTCCACCTAGTAGAATGAGTAGGGTGAATTGAAAATGGTTAGAACTGTGGGTGGTGGTTCTGGAGATTCAACGGACTCTTCTCTGGCTTTGAGTGAGCCTAAAAAGTCCCACAATGTTTTAAAGAAGATTACACATAAAAATCAAAAGAATATTGAATGTTTATGCCACAAAAAAAAAAGATAAGCATTTGAGGAAGCCAGTTTGCCATAACCTGAACATTATGTAGTATTTGAATCTGTTGAAAAAAATCACTAAGTGTACATATATACAAATAGAACTAGGAAACTTGATCAAATAGATAGGCATGGGATAGGTGGGAGTGGAGAAAAATGATGGAAGGGTGACTTTGACCAAGATTCATTGTACATAGAAATAATGAACATGTGAAATTGAAAACCCCTGTAAAATGATTTGAAGATGCTACTAGATTATGGATAGATAGATGGATAGATACTTAAGTTATAGACACATAGATACATGGATGAGAGACAATGATACAGACAGACAAGAAACATCACATGGTACCCCATAAGTATATACAATATTTTGGTGCCAATTTAAAATATTGCAAATCAATTTTATAATAATTCTTTTTTTGGGGTGAGGGGGTCCAGTCGGGCCGTGGAGCCTGAACTCTGGGCCTGGGCGCTGTCCCTCAGCTCTTCAGCTCAAGGCTAGCACTCTACCACTTGAGCCACAGCACCACTTCCAGCTTTTTTCTTTTTGCTTATGTGGTGTTGAGGAATCAAACCCAGGGCCTCAGGCATGCAAGGCAAGCGCTCTACCACTGAGACACCTTCCTAGCCCCAATTTTATAATAATTCTATAAAGAAAATTATCACATTGAAAATTAATCCTCAAATCCTTTCAAACAAGTATAGTTGAAAGTTACAAGTACTAGCACATACATTCAGATCCAATGTACTGGAGACATGGTTGACCATGTGAACACTGGAGGAGTATTGAAAACTTAAGTCATCGAGAGATGTACAAGTGGCATTACAATGGCATGAGGAGCTATTTTTGCAAAACTGCTTGCAAGTCTGATTTCAAATTAGGAAACAGATACAATAATGCATAAATAAAAGTTGCTTTTAAAAGACGAACCATAAAACTTACTGCTTTTTGAAAAGTTTCTTCTATGGTAGAAAAAAGGAAACAAAACCAAACAAGAAAAAAAAAAGCAGCTATCAATTCCTCTAAGAACCACCATATTGAAGAACACACACTTTTTGTCAAGATTTGACAGCTAGAAGTTTTCATAAAGGAGGCTTCAAACAAAACATTTTTAAAAAGAAAAAAATAATAAAAAGGCTGTACCACTCTCTGTTCTCCTTAAAAGTGACAGAAAATAAATTCTTTATCAATACTCATTTGTCCAAGTTACAGCTAGGCTGCCAAGCTCATTCTAAATGAGATATGAAATTGGCTCTCACCGGCACCTTTTATTCAACTTATCTGTCTGGTCCCTTTTCCAGAATCAGCAGGGCACACAGGAGTAGAATAAGGAAGGAAAGAAACACAAACACATAGGCATACACACAGACACACACACACGCGTGCACACACACACACACACACACACACACACACACACACACACACACCATAGGGAACGTTATCGTAACTAAAAGACTGCACCATATAAGAAAAAAAATCCTGTGAAATATAATAAAAAAAATGAGTTTAACCAAAAATCTTTTATTAAAGATAAGATTCAATTAAAAATAATAGAATTTCAAAAGCTAAGAACTGCTACTACAACACATTGGTTTTCTTTACTTAATGAAAGTGAATTGAATTTTTTAATATTTAAACTTTACTATCTAATTATATATTCTACCAAGCAAACCCAAATAAATAATTATAAATGCTCCATGGGAAACTAATGAAATATACACAGACTCTTTTGGAAGTACTAACCATAGCTTGAATTTTTTTCAAAACACAAAGCCATAAACCACCTCATCTTCTTGAGAAAATAGTGGTCTTAAACGATTCATATTCTGATCTGTATGTTTTGTGCACATTATGGGTTACCTTAGCTGTTTGTCAAGGGGAGGAACACAGAGAACATTATTTCAACCTCTTCATTTCAGGGATTCGTGCCCAAAGAGGTTAAGTTGAGGGTCCTAGGGTCAATAAGGACTTCAGTCTATTCAAAGGTTCTTTATTGGCTCTCTCAAACAAAAAGATTCAAAACAAAACAAACGCACAGCAAGCATCGACTCAGTGGAGGCCTGTGCCTGATGCTCACAGTAGAGAGAGACATTCACATGACCATGTGATCCAAATGCTCTGTTCTACATGCAAACCTCAGAAACGGCACAGATGGGAAGCACTTGACACTATCTTGGACTAAAATGTATTCACACATTTTTCTGAATAAATATATACTTTAAGTCTTTTAAAAGTACTGTTTTTGACCAAAAACAAAGTATTTGTGCTGCTTTGTACACTGCTTTTTTTTTTTCAGTTCATGGCTCTTAGCATCCTTTTGAATCAGCACATAAGGATATACTTGACTGTCGAGTATCCCACAGTAGGAATAGACCATACTGCATCCATTTGCTTCCTCAGGAGGGCCATGTGGATTGCTTCTAATTTTCTACTATTACAAAACCCTTTAGTGAGTAGTCTTTAACTGTTATTTGTAATAACAAAATAATGGCAATAATAAGATGAAATATATATGTAGAAAAAAATCTATAGTATTAAGAATGGTTATGGCTGCAGGACAGAATTATAGAGGATTTTTAATCTTCATATACATTCCTGTAACATCACCAATTTTTAAGTGAGAATATTACCAATTAATATTATTCGTTAATTTGAGTACTATATTCAAAATGGTATAATCTCTAACATTATCTGCTTTAATATATAATAACAGGTAATTTGATTTTTATTCTTAAACATATTCATTGGTAGATTTTTGAAATTCTGAAAAAATCCTCAAAACTTAAATTTCATATAATGAGAAAGCAAGACGCAATATTTGTATAACTAAGAATCTTTAGTAGATATGATAACTCTATACAATCAAGTGTGGGGAGAAGGTAATACAGGACTTTAACAAGCACACTTCAAAACTAAAATTGGGCTGGGCACCAGTGGCTCACACCTATAACCCTTACTCGGGATCCCAGTTCAAAGCCAGTCTGGGTATGAAAGTCAAGTCCAAGAGACTCTTAACTCCAATTAACAAGAGGGGATTAAAAAAAAAAAGACAAAAGTGGAGCTCAAGTGGTAAAGTGCTAACCTTGAGCAAAACAGCTCAGGGAGAAAACCCTGGCCCTGAGTTTGAGCCCCAGGAGGACACTGGAAACAAAAAACAAGCTGAGCTGGTGGCTCACGCCTGTAATCCTAGCTACTCAGGAGGCTGAGATCTGAGAATCACGGTTCAAAACCAGCCCGGAGGGCAGGAAAGTCCATGAGACTCTTATCTCCAATAAATCACTCAGAAAACCGGAAGTGGCGCTAAGTGGCACTGTGGCTCAAGTGGTAGAGGGCTAGCTTTGAGTTGAAGAGCTGAAGGACAGCGCCCAGGTCCAGAGTTCAAGCCCCACAACTGACAAAAACAAACAAACCAAAAAAAAAAAAAAAACCCTAAAATTATCCAAGTTCATATCAGATCATTCTGAAGTTCAGCCAATAATGTGTCTTATTACAATCATTCTCCTCTAAAGACATTTGATACTTATGACAAGTCCACAAAAATTCCGAGATGGCATGGAACTCACCGCCGCTGACTTTCAGAATCCCGTTTGGCTTGTCCCAGTGCCAGCTCCTCCGCTACTCTTCGTTTTAATTCTTCATCGGAAACTAGAATCAACAAAAGCAGAAACAGATGAAATAAGCAACTTCTGAAAACAAGGGCAAGAAAACACTCAGGAAAAGCAAGCTGAGCTGGAGCGGATGGACCAAGTTGGGCCAGGTGCTCAGTGCCTCCTTCCAATGCATTCCAATGCACTATGGAAGAGCAATTAGTACGCCCAGGAGTACTTTCATCAAGAGTTGTCTGGTGACCTAGAAATTTCCACACGTGCCAAAATTTGTCATAAACTTGAGGAGCTTCTAACTGCCCAGTGGGGATGGAGCTATTAAGTATGAATTCTTTAAAATGCTGTCCTAATATTAAAGTCTGACAACTGCAGGTAAAGAGAAGTCCAGGGACATCAGAAAAGTGGAAAATGACACAAAGTCTTCCCTTCAATAACTAAATATTTAATAAAATCATTCATTATCTAATGATCCTTTGTATTATATTCACTTCTCCTTGATTTATGATATATAGAAATTTGGAAACAATATTTTTTGGAAAACATGTCATTCAAATTCAAGTGCCAACAACTGGAAGGAGGCCAGTGTTGAGACCACGGCTGTATCTTCCTAAATATCCAGTGACTTAAATCAGGACCCAAAGAGCCCCAGAAACTATTTCAGAACTGTCTGGAATACAAATAATCAGGCATTATTTCAAATGGTTCAACTAATAGCTGGGAAACAGGGCAGTACTGTTTCTGCTATTTGGATATACTATTTGATTCCCCAGACAGTATGTTTCCTTTGTCTCAGGACAAAATCATAAAAATTAAAGTAACAACTTTTTAAAATATTTAATAGACACTAAACAAATGTGCATGAAAAGTTGCTTTTTCTCTCATTTGTAGAGAAAGCAAACTAAAGATAGGCCAGGTGTGATGAACAAACCTGCAAGCCGAGCCTCTCAGGAGCTGGGGGTTGAGGGAATCCCAGTTCAAGGCTAGCCTTGGCAAAAGGTTAATGAGATCTCAATCTCTGTCAACAAACTGGGCATGGTGAAATGTCTGGAACCTCAGCTACATGGGAGGAGAGAAAGAGAGAGGGAGAGGGAGAAGTTGAGAGGGAGATGGAAGAGAGATGGAGGAGAAAGAAGAGGAAAAGGGAAATGAAGAGGCAAACCACAGAATGCAAGGAAGAAAATATCTACAAGGAATTTATATCCAGAGTTCAGAACACATGAATAACTGATACAGGCAAGCAATAAAAAGATACACCAATTAAAAATGGGCACAAGTCATACATGGGCATTTCTCAAAAGATATGTAAATGGCCAATAAACACATGAAAAGTTGCCCAACCATATCCATTAGTAAAACACAAATCAAAGCCATAATGATATGCTACTTCAAACATACTATGATTTAAAAATTAATAATGTTGGAGAAGATCTACAGAAACTCAAATGCTCATATACTACTGGTGGGAACATGAAATGGCACGGCCACTGTGGCAAACAGTTTGGTAGTCCTGAGAAGTCCAAGTGGAGTTATCACATGACCCAGAAATCCATCCTCGGGTACTGAAAATTCTCATGAGAACTGAAAACATATGTCAACACAGAAATTTGCTCATGAACATCTATAGCATCATTACTTGTAGGTTCCCCAAAGTGGAGACCATCTACATCCCCATCAACGGATGAATGAATGGTCACCATAAGGTTGACTGTAACAGGATTCAGTCACTAAAAGGAGTGAAGTACAGAGTACAACACAGATGAACCTTAAAAACATCATGGCTTCTGAAAGAAGCCTGACACAAAACGTTGTGTGTTATGTATTTCCACGCATATGAAATATCCAGATTAGGCCTGAACACAGAAAGTAGATTAGTGGTTGCTGAAGTGGGAGAAAAAGGAAGATAGAGAAAGTCTCAAGGGTCGGTGGCTTTTTTCCTTGGGGGTAGAGGGGGTGTGGCAGGGGTCAGGGAAGCAGGGAGGCCATGTCTCATCATGTAGCCCAGGCTGGCCACCCAAATTCTGGGATGACATGCATGTGCCATCATGCTCAGCTCTGGCTTCTTTCAGCAGCGTTAAAAATGTTCTGAAATTAGTAACAGAGGTTACACAACTCTGTAAACTTTCTATTTAAAAAACCTGACCTATATACTTCGAATAGTTCAATGTATCTCAAGCAAGTGGGGGTGTGCATGACATAAAGAAGCATGGATAGCAGACTCGGGGTCTAATTCCCAACATGGATGTCTAATTCTGGGGGACCCTGAGAAAGTTTCTACCCTCCAGGCAGCAGTTCTCTCAAACTCTGTGCACTAGGATCCCTTCCAACTCTCTAGTAGGTTCCAGTTTGGCTTTCCCCCCACTTACAGTCATAGCATGAGAAAGATACAAGTCTTTGCTTTGAAAAGATCACACAAAATCTAGAAAGCCACAAAAGCAAACAATTCTATTTGTATTTTGTATTTGTATTCAGGCAAATCTTGGCTTTTCTCATGATTAAAGGATTTTAAGCAATACAAACAATGGCAGACAAACTACAAGCAGAAAGAGCTCAGCAAGAATCTAACTAGTGTGCTTTCCTACTAACCAGACTCTGGATAAACAAATTAATCTGCCCAATGTTTGGTCTCCTTATCCACTGAACACGTGGGTTGTTTCTGCTAGCTACCAAGCCACTGACTAGGTACTTGCACACAGTTCTCACAAATGAGCAGAATAATCAGACACTACATTTTTCAAAGTATATACGGCTCTGCTAAAAGAAAAAGAAAAAAGAAGAAAAGAAACACTTTACCTAATTGGTACTACTGATCAAACTACACTCTGAGGTTCAACATGCAAGTTAGAATCAATACTCTGTCGATCTATATATGCAAAACCATGCTGCCTCACCTTGATTACTTCAAATTCCAAAAGAACAAAAAATGTCTCAGGCAAAATTCAATCAGATTGTCAATCAAAATTCAATTTTAAATTAATTAATAATTAAAACTTAGTATCTGTAAGACCTCAGTATACCAAGTCTAAGTATGAAGCAATGAGATAGATTATTTTTTTCCTAAGTGAGCTCATATCTTCTCTTTGTTGTTTTGGGTTATTCTCCCACACTTACCAAGGTATGACTGACCCCCAAATAATGTATATATTCAACATGATCATTCCATATCCACACAAATTATGTTATGATTACTGCAATCAAATGAACACATCAAGCTGGGCACCAATGGCTCACACCTATAATCCTAGCTATTCAAAAGGCTGAGATCTGAAGATCACAGTTCAAAGCCAGCCCCAGCAGGAAAGGCCATGAAACTTTTATCTCCAATAAACTATTCAGAAAAAGCTGGAAGTGGTGCTGTGGCTCAAGTGGTACAGTGCTAGCCTTCTAGCCTTGAGCACAGAAAGGCGCAGGGGCAGAGCCCAGGCCTGGAGTTCAAGCCCCAGGAACAGAAGAAAACAAAAAACAAAAACACATCAACCACCACACATACTTACCATTTATGTATGTGTGGAGTAAGGACTGTAAAATCTGCTCTTATCAAAATAAACAACAGCATATTATAAAATAGTCATCTGGTACCAAGAATACTGATACATAACTGGAGAGTGTGAGGCAGGAGGATTCAAAATTGGAGGCCAGCCTGGGCTACTACACCACCAAGTCAAGAGGAGAGAGGGATGAGGGTGGGCAGGGGAAGAGGGAAAAGGAAAGACCAAAACAATCATCATGCTATGTAGTATGCCCTAGAATTTATCCCTAGCTCAAAGTTTCTAGCCTTTGACCAACATCCTTCTATTCCCTGCCTCTCCACCCAAACTTCTAACAACTGCAGTTTAGCTTCTTTATGTTGTGCAGACAAGAAAGCTCATGTAATATTTGTCTTTCTGCATGAGACTCATTTCACTTAGCACAGTGTCATCTTCTATCTGTTGTATAGGACTTCCTACCAGAAGAAAAGTTAGTCTGGAACAGAAGGATGAGAATGTCATCACCAAATAATTACCAGCTGGGTGGATGGGCCCGAGGCCAAGCAGGTGAGTGTGGAAGGCAGTGGGTGGCAGTGGGTGAGAAAGAGACCTAGCTTAGAGGCCTGCTCATTCTGACCCTACCCTGTCAGCCCTGGGCCCCTGCCCTCACAGGGCAGCAGAGGACAGATGTAGGTAAGAGGGCATCATCTAGGTCAGCCAGGGGAGGAGGAGATCGTGGGAACAGGAGAACACCAGTAAAGCTGATGGCTCAGGAAAGCTGGAGAGCCACTAAAGCAGACATGCTAAGAGACCAGCTGGGTGACATCACTTCTAGTTCAGTAAAAGAGACCAAGCACAGCTGTCTTTCTAATACTTTACCTAGTTCCAGAAAGGAAAAAAAGAAAAAGAAAAATCACAAGTTCTGGGTCTCCAGGCCAAGGTCACACCTGAAAAAGTAATTATCTTAGCTACAATGGAGATTTTAAAATAACAAAAGATAAACCATGACCTGGCATAAAGAGTTTAAAATCTAAAATAGCAGATCAAAGCACAGACGAAAAAATAAACCAGTGTGGTAATGGATTTTCAGCAAGCCTAAGCTTCATGTTATTTGTTTTTAAATCAATAGAATACAGAACACGACAATATAGTTCTTGTGATAGGTCAGCTCCAACGTGTATCAGAGAAAAAGATACAGCATTTGGAGACCACTATTTAAGATGGCCTTTCTGAAAACACTCTATAGCTCTCGGGATCTGAACATTTTCTCAAATAAAACTGTTATTAAAGTAAAAGGTCAGCGTTTCAGGATGGCTACTTTAAGGGAAGCACAAGAAAGGCCAACTTTGCCTATTAGCACAGTGAGTTTCCAAGCAGAGCTTTAGGGACTGGCAAAGTTGGTCAAATGAGAAAAAGAGTAAAAAGTGAGAAGTGTTTAAGCCATATACATCAATTTGCCATGGAAATTGTGAAACTACATCAAGTTCAGTAAATGTGGATGGTTTTGTGTGAGTGTGAGTGTGTGTGTGTGTGTGTGTGAGTGTGAGTGTGTGTGTGTGTGTGTGTGTGTATGGCT